ACAGCGTACAAGTAGCTTAACTCTTATCAATCACCACAGCAGTTTTATATGTAAATCCTGAAGTAATTTGGTTTGTTTTAGAGAGTTAATATTGAGGCTGCTAAGACAAGACAGGGGAGCCTGCCAGCACATGATGAATGGTGTCATTTACTTTCAGCTTGACCATTCTGAGAAAAACACTGACTCACTCAGCCTGTGGTCTCCTGTGCATCTGTTCTAAAAGTCACAAGATCATACTTTCACTCCATGGTCTCATATTTGCATTTCGGGTTCATAGTGCTCTTGTTTGTCAAGTCTTCAGGTTTATTCACAAATGCAGGTAAAGACAGAATTGGCAGTTTCCCCCCCTGAAATTCAGCAGCCTATAGTATTTGAAGTCTGTTGTTTATTACAAAAGTGTGGTCTGGTTTTCCTCCCTTAGCGTACACTTTTTAGCCAGACATAAACAGAACAGTGTTGACATGAACAGCTAGCGAAAGAACTGACCATCTGATTCCTTTAGTGCTGTGAACAGTGAAACACAATAACCCAAAACTGAAATGAATCTGGTTTGTCTGACAAAGTTGATCAAACATCATGTTTCCAGTAAGTTAAGAGATACCAGTGCTGAAATTGCAGCTTCAATTCATCTTGTATTTGTCCTTAGTTGAAGGAAACCCCGGTCACATTTTTTCAGTTTTCTTTGTTCGTTTCTTATAAGATTTATTCACAGACAGAAGAAAAAAAAAATCACAGTTACCGGGATTTGTGCAATATTTGATCTTAACTGTCATGTTGTTGACCAAACTGTATATTGTATAAACAAGTGACAAGTTGTTTGAAAGCAACAAAATCACCAATGTCTTCCATTAAGATATGTATAGAATCATGTGCATTAGCTTATTTAGTGGGACTGTGGTGCCAACATTATATTAGCCATGCATGACCAGTAGTGATGCTTGCTTCATGAAGACAAGTGAAATCAATTTCTACACAAAGTTAAAGCTCAAAACGGTTTCACTAAAACTAAAGGGTGGTAGACCGATGTGCCAAGCCTTTGAATACACAACATTTAAACACAGCTGTGCCCTAAAATCTTAGATTAATGCAAGATTTGCTTTTTGTTGCATGTCTAGGTTGTGTAATGAAAATGCATTTGGAGTATGACAGTCAGGGTTTGCAGTTAAAGCATTGATTCAAGCTGTTTTACATATACAGTGTGCTCACTGCAAGTTAGTGCTTTCTAAAACAAATGCTGTATTCTGGACAAAAATGCTTAAAAGATGTCCTAAAAATGTATTCATGCCATTCCCAAGCACCAGAGGAATTAGGTTATTATTAAGCGACAGCCAAAACTCCCAAGGAATAATGTGATAATGACAGAAGTCTTTAGAGAGATGTTATATTAATGGTAGCATTTTAACCCTATTTAGATCCAGTTACTAGGAATCAGATGTAGCATTTTAGTCCTAGAATTTAGATCTCACCATGACATTGTACTGTACATAATACCTCATAGAGCATTATATTTTAAATCCATAAAATTGTATTTGATTAGTTTTAGAAGCAATAACCTACAATAATGCATGAGTTTAATGCCAGGGTGTAAGAACTGAAAGGATCCCCCCAGTATGCCTATGGTAGCTATCGATTATTACTTTTTTGGGAGTCGTATCAATTCTTGTAGCATTTTTACATTCACAAAACCTGCCCCTTCCTTTAGAAATACAAACTTTCAGTAATTCTGCTGCTGCAAATGACTTACTGAACAAACGTGACACTTGTTTGAAAAGCACTTTCTCTGTGTACTGACTTGCACCATCTTCATCAGCATCCTGTCTTGAATACTGTGTGCTAAAAACCCTGTAATGCTCTTTGTGGGGATTTATAATCACAATTTATAAGCAAATAGGCATCTAGCAACATGAATATATGGGTTTAAAAAATATGCATGATTTAACAGAATAATGAATGATATGTATTGCATGCAATAATCCAACTTTGTAATGTGAATGAGTGTAAATTAGGATATTGAAATGTTCATATCAGATGTTGTGATAAGGGACAGTTGACACTGCAGCAAGCATGCTGAAGTAGCTTTGACCATCAGCTGTGGTTTTCACAGACTGAACAGCACCAAAAAAGACATAACAGAGTAGTTTTCAGAGTTCTGCTGTCGCGCTCTGTTGCGTCAAACATGACCACAGCAGCACAGCGACAGTGTAGCTGAAAAACACTGACCAACCTTTGTTCCCATGAAGAAAAAAAAAAAAACTAAGCTTGGGTAAGAAGATTAGTGACATGACTTTGTTAACCAAGTTTTCCACTGCAGAGGTGGACTGTGTAGAAACTATGCACTCCAGAAGGAGGAAATGGGCATGCTTATTATGTGTGAGCCTCTTGTCTGGTTTTGTATTAACTAAAAAAATCTGTATCAGAAGTTCAGCAATAAAATGCAGCATGGTGCCAATTGGACGGCTGGGTGTTAATGTTTAATTAGTTTGCTGATATGGAGAGAATAACATGGAGGGCGGTGACAGATGTGAAACGTAATCGAATTTTATGGTTACAGCAATAGTTCAACAGTCACTTCCTTTCTGAAAATCAGTGAGTTGCTAGAGCTGGGAGGTGGTTAACTTAGCTTAGCATAAAGACTGGAAGCAGGGACAAAGCTGGCCTAGCTCTCAAGCCAAAATGTACCACAATGCCTCTAAAGATTACTAATTAACACCCTGTGTCTTGCTTGTAAGCAAAAGTAAATGTAAAAACAACAATGAAGTTCTAGAGGGAACTATTTATTTAAAAAAAAACTAACAAAAACACCACCATGTACCATCACAGATGAACTTAATAGAATCAGAGGTGTCTGTTGGCGGTACTAGATTAAGTCACAGGTTTCTTGTGTTGAATTTTCCACTTTAAGTATGTGTACATTAACGTGAATACATGTTAGAATCTTTTAAATCCAGATAACAAGCTAAGTGGCAATTGGAATTTTTTTAAATTTCTGCACCACAACATATACAATGAAAACACAAAGATTGAACAAAACAAATAAGGGATCAGTTTTCCAGCTGCAGGGATGTATACGAACATGTCAAAGCATTTAATGAAAACAAAACTGAAAAGAACAATAACATATAGAAATAGTATACAGGCAGGCAGCAGATTGAAAAACACAAGGTGCCTAATCCCAGGACCAGGTCTAGACTGCTCGTGCACGCTACTTGTCCTGTTCACTGGAAACACTCTTGTCGGTCAGTTTGCTGTTAACACGTGACATCTGATCCAGCTGCTCTTCAAACTGCTCTCTCACCTGCGGTGGAGGAAAGCAAGGAACAGATGTTCTATCAGTAAAAGGCATCTGTTTTTTAGCATCCATCATTCCCGCCTGCATTTTCTTTCCAGCTGTCCTTTGTCCATTTGATGTGGGAAAACATGAAGTCCAAATTCAAAGGCAACTGGATTGGCTGGTATGTTGATTGGCCACTCAGCCAAGAGCCTTCTACAGTCCTGCCGAGCTTTTATCTTAAGGTATTACGGTGGTGCCACCCACAGGTTCATGATCAAACTGTTTATCATCTATTTAATTAGATGTATGACCACAGGTCATGCCAAGTAAAACAACCTGTCACAGAACAAATGTTTATCATATGGCAGAGTACTGATATTCTCAGATTAAGAGATTATTATTTGAGTTAAAGAATGTCCTGAAGCGCTGCAGTTGTACATCCAGGTTCTAATCATAGTCATCACAGTAAATTAAATGTCATTGTTTCACCTCATTAATGCTTTCTCTGATGGGCTTCAGATTAAATGTGATTTTGGACGCTTTCACCATCGAGCTGCTGGTGAGGATGTAACTGCAGAGAAAAATGAGAAACGGGTGAAGTCAGTCACTTCAAACTGTCAAAACGTGCAGGTGTGGCTGTTTAATCTCTAACATGAGCATTAAGAAAATCAATTAATGCAGTGGACAACACTCACACAGCACTAGATCATTATAGCCTCTCCAGACAACATTCACCTGTACAGAATATGCTTGTTTACTCAGCAGAAGCTTACCAACTGAGGTTTGCTTTGTAGAGGAGAAAAAGAGAGCGAATTGTAGCCAAATGTGACGGAGCTGAATGAATAACTTTCCCCACAATGCAGCTGCAGCCGTGACATTTTAGAGAACTGAAGATGCTGAAAGTAAACAAGAGCAGTGACAACACATACTGTAGGCCTGTGACCATAACCTTTCAGTCATGTGCACAACTAATTGACTAAAACAAGCAAGTTACTTGATAACATTAAAACCTCTATATGTAGCTGATCCATATATTTTCCTTGCTGTTGGGAAGTACTGCCACATTCACTCACCAATTAGCCAGGTCCCCTTTATGTCCTGACTCCATTGCATCACTGATGACCACATCATCAGTTACTCCTGAACGGAAACAAGAAGCTCTGTCATCGTGTGTACATGTCCGGTAATGTAGGAAAATAGTCAAAACGGCAATATAGTCTGATACATCTTCTTGTGCTATGTTATGGATACACTTCCACTAATGGCACCGAATATCTCTGGTTTTATTGAGTGTTTTACTAAATTGTTTTAAAATATTTGAATTTGTTCATATACTTTATCATTTAAGCACCATGTTTTCCTTAGTTATGCTATATTGTAATAAATTACTGTAAGATTAGCATGCAGAAACAGATTTCTAACGACCAATTATAATGGCCCGTTTGATTTAACATATTATAAAACACTACAAAAGAAACAAACAAATCACAATTAAATAAATATAAAACTAAATCATAAAACCTTACCAAACAGCAGCAGACTTTCCTCAGCAAATGCATTTATAGAAAACATAACAACTTATGAAATACTATCACTGATGAAGACCATGAAATGTGGTGGAAAGCTCCAAAAGAATTAAGTGGAGGACCTTGAGTTAGGATTTTGCCAAAACAGTGCATGCTACAATACTTTCTAAAACTCTATTAACTAGTTTTTGTTTGACAAAGCATCAGCAGACTGCCACCTCAGCTCAACTAGTCCACACAACACACGGGCCTACATTTACAACAGGAATCATTTTAATATTTCCGGTCAACAATAATCGGGGAGAGATGAAGTGAACCTACTTAGACACATGATCGAGTCCATACGTTCAATGTGTACCTCCCCACAGATGCCGTAGGAGTCTCCCAGGACAGTGTTGCATTGCGCACAGTGGATAGTCATCTGCTGTTTGTGCTGTGCCTCTGCGGTCAGCTTCACATTGTTCATATGTCGAATTAAGACGCTTTCATCATACTCCATGTTGAAGACATTTGTCTTGCTTCCTTATTATGAATGAATTACCTGCTACCGCGAACTCGTCTCCTTCACTGTTGTTTACTGGCGGTTGGGGAACATTTTTTTACGTGCATTACCGCCACCTACTGTCTGGAGTGTGAATCAAAATGACTCGGCGTTAGGTATTACTTAAATAACGCAACGATTATATTAAAACTGCTACAACAATATACTTATCATCTCAGCGTTGCATTATCTTACATAAACTTACTAAGATCACTATTTTCAAAAATCTGAAGGTAGCCATGTATTAAATCTGAACTTCCATCCATTATTTATAACGCCTATCCGAATAAGGGTCATGGGAGCCAATCCCAGCTGACATTGGGCGAGAGCAGGTTACACCCCGGTCATGTCGCAGTCTATCGCAGGGCTGGGACTTAAAAACAGACAACCAGGGAGCCTGCATGTCTTTGCACCCGGAAAGAGGCACATGAGCCGGGTCGGCCGGGGCTTGAACCTGGAACCTCCTTGCTAATCACTGTTCCTTATCCTTATTTAGAGGCTGACTCATTTCCCGGAACTCTTGTGTGAGCTGGTATCCATACAAATGGTAAATTTAATCTCAACTTTCGGACTCTTATCAGAACATCGCGTCTACTTTGCGAATGGCCGTATTTCAAGGTGGCGAATGATGAACTGGAGTCCGAGCAAATCACAACTCTCACCTCTTCAACTCACTGTAAAGCCAATACAAATTTACTGTTGAATAGTGATGGGTCCGGCAACACCGATGCGTCGAGCTCGTAGAGCAAAACCCCGTGTCGGTGCGCGTATCGCTTTAATAATTACAAAACCAAGTAGAGTAACAACCCAGCATGCAACATTAATCGATAATATATTTACCAATGTTATGGATAGTAAAATGACAAGTGGATTACTCATAAATGATATTAGTGATTATCTACCAGTATTTGTGGTTTATGAGGGCCAGTATAGAAAAGAGAGGCCAAAAACAAATCTTTTCTATAGGAGGGTGACGAATGAACATGCTGTAAGGAGGCTAAAAGAGGATTTTATGGGGCAAAACTGGGAACCAGTTTACAGAGAGGAAGACTTAGATAAAGCATATGAGCAATTTTTAAATATATTCATGAACGTATATGACAGGAACTGTCCTCGTAAGCAGTATAAAAACAAGAGGAATTACAGTGGGAAACCGTCGATGAGTAAGGGATTACAGAATGCATGTAAAAAGAAGAATGTGTTATATAAGGAATTCATAAAGGACAGATCAAAGAAGGCGGAAGAAAAATATAAGTCATATAAGAACAAATGAATTGAGATTTTGAGGAGATGTAAGAAACTATATTACTCTAAAGTATTAGAGGATAATAAAAATAACATGAGAGGTACTTGGAATATATTAAATAAATTGATTAGAAACAGTTCCAGCAAGA